GGTCTGTCCTGACTCTGAGGGTTGTTCTTTATGTACATTTCACATCTAGCACATTTTTTTAGTAGTTAATAAATCCATAGGTGTTAAATGCGTTGTTTATCATAGATGCATCCCTCCTGTTGAGAGTCATGTAGGAGAATTGCTCAAAATTGCATATTTATATACACTCTTAGGTAAGATGCACTTGCTTTCTGCTAAGTTGGTCCTAAACATTTCAAATTGCACTTTTTTTTAGTCCAGAGATGTTTTTCTGGGTTTGGCGCATGTTGCTGTATGCCTCACAAAATCTCTAAGTCTAAATCTTGTGTGTGATTGTTCTAACATAAACACTGCTACAAATTGCTAACTGTTTTGGCAACTACAGGGTGTCCACTGTTGCCGAGTATTATATGGCCATGGAGGTAACTACAACTGCTTGGAGGTTGAGGTTGCTCTAGAAATTGTATTGATACAGTGGCATTTATAAATGCACACTAGCTCCTACTATGCTTCCATCAGTCTGAAAGAATATTTGTCATTTAGAACAACTCAGGAGTCAACCTGCTCCCCAGTTGGTTGTATTCGGGTTATAAATCTATAGAACAGGAAGGGTACTGAGTGCAAATGTAATAGTTAATTAGTAAAGGAATTTCTTTTAAGTACGACTTTCTCTCTATGTAGACAGCAACAGATATGTGATTTTCCACAATTTATCACAGCTGCTGAATAATTAGAAACATATTACATGTAATTACCAACCTGAAGGAATGAGGATGAGGATATAGATGTATTGGCAAGACAGCCATTCAAATCATAATCTCTTGATTTGCAGATACATTAAACAAAGCTGAAGTTAAGTATTATAATTATACAGACTCCCAAGAATGTGGCAGGATAACTGGAATATCAGCATTCATAAAACATTCAGAAATATGGTCACTGGAAGAGGGTGGGTGGGTAGGTACCAGAGAGAAGAAACAGACAAGTACCAAACAGCAATGTGTGCTAACTAGAGCTCAGCGATCTGTCGGCTTCAGCCCCGACGGCGGGTCCGTGTCCATGTGAGAAAGGGGACATTTCACTGATTCTGATGCATCGGCGGGTCTGATGCATCATGTTTGCATCTGTTTTGTTTTCAACCGATGCATTGAAAACAAAACAGACAACAACAAAAGGTATTGTTCAACGTAAATTAGAAAATGCTTAGTTTCAAAAAGGCATCTATTAGCTTTCGTACCTAAAACAAAACATTTACAGGGACTGGTAGTTTTGTTCCAGCTTTATGTTTACGTCTTTGTGCAGAATCCGCGTACCTGCTCTCATTTACTGTTTTAGCTGTTTGGTGGTTGTTGAAATTTTGTGAGGTTTAAACTGAGATTCTGGCTTTTCGGGCAAAATAAATTTATATTTAAAAAACCAATTCAGGATTTTAATGAATCGATATGACGTTATCCAAGCAAGAATCGATTTCAATCGATAAATCGATAATCAAAACCTACCCTTAGTGCTTACTGCAAAAAAATTGAATCTGTTAAGCATGCACTGTTAGAATGCCAGGCACATGTCCAGGAGAGGAAGACATTAATAGCAAATTTTGAGAAGCTAAAGATATTTTACATTAGAAAAACAGCCAGAAAAACTGTCTCAGGTCTGTGATCAGCTGTTGAAATTTGTCATTAGAATGGATTTAATAGTCGGGATGCGTTTTTTCCAGTTCCTGATCCACATTCCAGTCCAGTAGGTGGCGGTAATGCACTTTTGCAAAATGCCATTACACTAAAAAGAAGACTAAGAAGAAGAGTATGGCTATCCCACTAGCGTTGTTTTTATCGATAGTTGTGTCAGTCTGCTGATTTCGGCTCCATCACGGAGGTTCTCTCTGATTGTGGGCTCATCTAAAGGTAAGTATTTAGTAGGGATGGAAACTGAGATCATTTAGTCGAATTCCTTGGAATTGTTAGTCTGCCCGTCTACCCCCTGTCTGTTCTTACACTCGCGCTGTATTCAGCTGTTTTCAGTTGAAAAATGGTGGCGCAGTCTACAGCGTGGACATTGACATTACTAGTTGTTATTGAACTAAAGAACGAGAGCGCGATGGTAGACGGGAAACGTCATCCAGGATAGAAACAACACATAACGCTGCTAACACAACTTTAGCTCTTTGCAAGCATTAGCACAGACGGCATGCTAACGCTCAGCTAGCATAGAACTCACAGTGAAAGCTGAGTGAATAGAGATTGACAGACCACGTGACTTTCGTGCATTGCATTGTAGGTACGAGTAGCATTGCATTTCCAGCACCGGTAATCATTATTTCTGCGGTTTTAATCCCTACTTGCATTTTATTTGCCCCAAAAACAGTGATGTACAAAACGACGGAGAACACGGCAGGTCCGTACAAAGACAGACGTGACGAAAAGGCAA